CCGGAGTCCATTTAAACTCACACCTACTGCTTCTGTGACTCCATCCAGCCACCTCATTCTCTGCCATCTCCTCCTCCTTTTGCCCTCAATCGTTCCCAGCATGAGGCTCTTCTCCAGGGAGTCCTTCCTTCTCATTAGGTGACCAAAGTATTTGAGTTTCCTTTTCAGGCTCTGGCCTTCTAAAGAGCAGCCAGGGTTTGTCTCCTCTAGGACTTACTGGTTTGATCGCCTTGCAGTCCAAGGGACTGGTGGGAGCCTTCTCCAGCACCAGAGCTTAAAGGGCTCCATTCCTTAGCGCCTTGACTTTCTTATGGTCCAACCTTCACAGCCATCCATTGCAACTGGAAAAACCATAGCTTCGACTATACACACTTTTGTTGGCAGGATATTGTTATGTACACATGTATTAATGTTTTTTTTTAAAATCTGTAACTTGGTCTTGACCATAAATAAACAGGTAAATAAATGAATATTCTCAGGGCAAGCAGAGTGGGGAAACTACTGTGGGTTGAATTCAGGTCTCCTTTATAAATATCTCCTACAAACTTTTGGATTGCATGTATTCTTGGCTGCCTGTCTTTTGTGGCATTTAATGTTCTCCTGTGTTTTTCCAGGACTGAAGGGTGACCCTGGAGAGAAGGGTGAAAAAGGAGATCGTGGTGAAACTGGCACACCTGGAAAAGAGGGGGGACGAGGTGAAAAGGGCTCCAGAGGGCCCAAAGGGGACAAAGGAGAAGCAACCAATGAACTGGTTTCTGAAGGTAAGATGAAATGATGGTCTACAAAGAACACAATGGTGGTAGAGTTGGAAATCAGCCTTTTCCAAGTCGACGCCTTCCAGATGTGTTGACTTCAGAGGATGAGATTGAAACACATCTGGAAGGCATCAGGGTTTGGTTAGAAATAGAATGATGAGTTGGGAGGGACCTTGGAGGTCTTCTAGTCCAACCTGTTTAGGCAGGAAATCCTACACCTCTTCAGGCAAATGGTTAAGGTTAAGACAAAGGATGAAGAAGGCTTGTTCTTCATTGTAGCTAGCCAAGATTTTTTAAAAAATATTCATTTAGTTATTCAATTTCTATAGCCAACCAACTCAACAAGTGACTCTGATGCTTGGGGATGCGCATGGGCTGCACACAAACACCCTAGAACAGCTAAAGAGCAGAAGTAGCTAAAGAGCAGAAGTTGCCTCCAGAAGTTGTAAATACTCCAACACTAGAAGTTTTTAAGAAGATGTTGGATACCCATTTGTCTGAAGTGGTGTAGGGTTTCCTGCCTAAGCAAGGGGTTGACTAGAAGACCTCCAAGGTCTCTTCCAACTCTGCTATTCTGTTCTATTCTATTCTACTCTACTCTACTCTACTCTACTCTTCTATATTCCATTCCATTCCATTCTATATGTCTTCCCTTCCCTTCTCTTCTCCCCTCCTCTCCTCTACCCTACTCTACTCTTCTATATTCCATTCCATTCTCTTCTCTTCTCTCCTACTCTACTCTACTCTACTCTACTCTACTCTACTCTACTCTACTCTGCTCTGCTCTGTTTTATATTTCATTCCATTCAATGTGTCTTGTCTTGTCTTGTCTTGTCTTGTCTTCTACTCTACTCTACTCTACTCTACTCTACTCTACTCTACTCTACTCTACTCTACTCTACTCTACTCTACTCTA